TTTCTATTTTTTAGTAGAGACGCGGTCTCGCTCTTGCTCAGGCTTGTCTAGAACTCCCGACCTTGAGCGATCCACCCGCCTCGGCCTCCCAGAGTGCTAGGATTACTCTGGGTATGTTTTGAAAGCAGACCTGACAGGACTAGCGAGAATAAATACTAGGTTCTTGGCCTGAGAAACTGAAAAGACTGAATTGCCATTGCCTGAGCCAGGAAAGATTACAAGAGGAGTAGTTTTAAGGGAGAAATAAGTACAGTTCACGCCGTTGGATCTGAAATACATATTCACTCCGGTCGAGAGGTTGAACAGGCAGTTAGATAAAAATCTGTATAGTTCAGAGGAAAGGGCCACGCTAGGGAATTTTTTTTTTAATTAGAATCATCAGCAGATGATATTTAAAGTCCTACAACTGATGAGACTTCCATCTTACAAGTGAGAGTAGCCAGAGAAGAGAAGTCTGAGGACAGAGCCCTGAAGCTCTCAAGTACTGAGAAGTCAGCCTGACAGAAGGACATTGCCCAGGTTGACAGAGAAGCAGCAATCAGCTAGGGAGCAGGCACACCCAGAGACTGGCCATGCGGAAAGCCAAGTGCAGAAAGTTTATTTAGGAAAAGGGAATTATCAACAGTGTCAAATGCTGCTGACAGGCCAAGAAAGATGAGGACTGAGGACAACTGGATTTGGTGTCATAGAGGTCACTGGTGACCTTGATGAGAGTTGTTTTTCTGGAGTAGTGGAGGCAAAACCCTGACTGAAGCAGATTAAGGGAGGAGAAGAATTGGAAACAGAAATGCAGGGACAGTTCTTTCTAGGAGTTTTATTATAAAAGGGACCAAAGGAAATACGAAGGGGAATGTGAAGTCAAGGTTGTTTTTTTTTTTCTAAATGAAAAAAGTTACAGATGGCTGTATGAATAATCCAGTAGAGAGAAAAATTCCTGATGCAAGAGAAAAAAGGGAGAATTGCTTAAGTAATGTGCTGAAGTTGAGGAAGTAATACAAAACTTATTCACGGTAAAAAGGAGGAGGAGGAAGAGGAGGAGACAGAACATCTGAGTTTAGCTTAGGTAAATAGATGTGTGGTGGAAGCATAAAGACATTATTACACTTTTTGATGGCTTCTATTTGCTCAGTGCAATAGAAGCAAGTTTATCAAATCAGAGTTATATACGGAGTGTGAGGAGAGAGAAGGTATGTAAATCGTATGTGATAACAAATGAAGTAGAGAAATATAACAGAAATGAGAGGCAAGGTGAGACTAAATGGCCTTTAAAGTTCAATGCAAACCCAACCTAAAACTCTCAGCAATGCCAGCAGCCTGATGCTATAAAACATGATAGCCTGACTCTTAGATGCTTAGGCAGAGGCAGGTAGAGTCCCCAAGAACATCAGAGGCTTGAAGATTCTAACAGATATCCTAGTCTCTCTCCTCCTCTTGACAGCCAAGCTCTTCAAAATAACAGTCTGTACTTGCAGACTTCCACCTTTGCACCACTCGCTCTTCAAACCAGTCATCCAACTTCACGCCCATCAACCAACACAAAGTGCCCTGGCAGTGCTCATTAATGACCTAACAGCCAAATTACACTTTATGATTTTACTTGACCTCTAAGCAGCAATTTCTGTCAGCAATCTTTCTCCATCTCTGATTGTTTTCCCAGGCTCCCTCGCTAGCTTCCCTTTTCCCGCCTACCTTTAAACATTATTCTCCATGATTGCGCGCTGGGCACCCCTCTGTTCTCATTCCACAAGCTCTTCAAAAGTACTATCTGTTCCCAGAGTTTTAACCACCAACCCCCCCAGGAAGCCCTTGACCACAGCATGAGAAACACTGGTTTAGGGTATTAGCAAGAGTGAGTGGACGATTGGCCATGAAACCCAAGTAGATTGGGGAAAAGTAAAACCAAGTGCAGGCTGACACACAGGAGCAAAGACATCAATCAACTAAGGTTCACTGCAGAGAAGCAGCTGCAAGAAAAGTACTCAACTGAGGAAGTCAGGAGAATAGAAGGTTGTGATCAAAGGACAGTCTATAATTTTTAAATTAGTGTTTAAAGGCAAAGGAGAGTAGTTCCAAAAATTCCAGAAGTTAGTACAGAAGTCGTAGATGAGAAAGCATGAAAGATAACAGATGAAATCAAGGAACCAAAATGCATGGAATGAAGACTAATGGAAAACAATTCATTCAAGAGTAGAAGGCTAACACTTATCAAAACAAATATATTATTAATTTTGAAATGAAAGATACCCACTATGAAAATAAAAATACAACTATAACAGACTAGAACAAAAATCACAGAACTGGTTAGAGTATTCTTCTAATTCCAAAGGTAGGACTAAGAGCAGGTTCTCCTCCAAATGTGTGAATCTTTTCCAGAGAGACAGACTCAGAGGGACTGAGCGAAATGAAAGAAAGTGGGGCTGGGCACAGTGGCTCACGCCTATAATCCTAGCACTCTGGGAGGCGAAGGCAGGAAGACTGCTTGAGCCCAGGAGTTTGAGAATGCTGTGAGCTAGGCTGATGCCACGGCACTCTAGCCCAGGAAAGAGAGCGAGACTCTGTCTCAAAAAACAAAAAGAAAGAAAGAAAGCTGTAATGGTGCCTCCTATTCTCCCTATATCCACTGGGGACAAAAGGAAATTCCCAACCAAAAAAAAAAAAGAAAAAACCATTCCAGCTCCTCACCACTAAAGGTGAGGTACACCTACCTGATAAGAAAGAAGACGGGGGCCAGGCGCAGTGGCTCACACCTGTAATTCTAGCACTCTGGGAGGCCGAGGTGGGTGGATCACTCAAGGTCAGGAGTTCGAGACCAGCCTGAACAAGAGTGAGACCCCCGTGTTTACTAAAAAAAAAAAATAGAAAGCAATGATCTGGACAACTAAAAAATATATATAGAGAGAGAAGAGAGAAAAAATTAGCCGGGCATGGTGGCACATGTCTATAGTCCCAGCTACTCGGGAGGCTGAGGCAGGAGGATCGCTTGAGCCCAGGAGTTTGAGGTTGCTGTGAGCTAGGATGATGCCACAGCACTCTAGCCCGGGCAACAGACTGAGATTCTGTCTCAAAAAAAAAAAAAAATTTGTTTTTAAATAAAAAATTAAAAAAAAGAAAGAAAGAAGATGGGGCACGGTGGCTCACGCCTGTAATCCTAGCACTTTGGGAGGCTGAGGCATGAGGACCACTTGAGGCCAGGAGTTCAAGAACAGCCTAGCAAGACCCTGTCTCTACAAAAAAAATTAAAAATTAGCCGGGCGTGGTGGTGCATGCTATAGTCCTAGCTACTTGGGAGGCTGAGGCAGGAGGATTTACTTGAGCCCAGGAGTTTGAGGTTGCAGAGAGCTATGATGATGCCATTGCACCCCAGCCTGGGAGACAGAGCAAGACCCTGTCTCAAAAAAAAAAAAAGAAAAGAAAGAAAGAAGACGGGTTTTGTTCTAGCATCTTGTGGTACTGTGGAGTGACTAAGCTTTTTTCTTCTGATGAGGGAAGGAATAGCCACGCTAACAGAGCTCGTAACAGAAACACACTGGGCGCATGTCCTACTGTGCCAGCCAGCCCAGAGAGAAGGCAATTTGACCTGGGGGATGGGGAGATATGACTTTAATCCTGCTTCTGATCAACAATGGCTAAGCATTTGAGAGCTGACTGACCCAGTCACAAGTAATGGAATAATACATTTAATATATATTGTTAAAAGCTAGTATTCTTAAATTCCAGGTGTAACATCTGAACCTAAATTTAAACTGGTGCATTACAATCAAATTGTACTACTCAGGTTTTCATTTAAGGACTGTGAGTTTCAACTAATTACAGTGACTAAAAGGAGTATCACAAAAGAGTGACAGAACAAAGTGGGCTCAAGGACTGCTACCACCAACACATTCTAACGAAATCCCTGATGAATGCCCCAGTTACCCTTATTTGATTATATGAATGTATCAAATTATCACATGTACCCCCAAAATACATTCATCTAATATGTATCAATAAAAAATTTTAAAATTAAAAATAACAAAATCCTGGGAGAGAAGACAAGTGAACTAAAATTGAGCTGATAATCTTATCTTCCACAGCAGAGAGCCCATAGATACTGCTTTATTTTAAAATTTTTTCATCAAAAAACAAAGATGTAAGTATCCTTTAAAGTTAAAAGCTAACCATTAAAATAGCTAAAATTAAAATTGTACTTCTTTGAAATTACCTTAAGAGCCAGGAAAATAAAAAGAAAAAAAGAAAAATCCAGACTATGTAGTAAAAGACAGGAAGACACAAGCATTTATAAAGATAATATAATAAAGATGAAACATATTTAATTCAATAATTGTAAATGCACTGACAATATGATTTTATATCTAGAAAAAGACTCCACCAAGAAACTCCTGGAATTGATAAATAAATTCAGAAAGTCTCAGGTTACAAAATCAATGTACACACATCAATAGCATTCCTATACACCAGTAACAGTTAAGCTGAGAGTCAAACCAAAGACTCAATACCATTCACAATAGCCATGAAGAAAATAAAATTCCTAGGAATATACGTAACCAAGGAGGTGGAAGATCTCTACACAAAGAACTACAAAACACTGAGGAAAGAAATCACAGATGATGCAAACAAATGGAAAAACATCATGCTCATCGATCGGTAGAATCAACATTGTTATAATGTCCATACTTCCCAAAGTGATTACAGATCCAACACAATCCCCATTAAAATACCAATGTCATATTTCACAGATCTATAAAAAATAATTCTATGCTTTGTTTGGAACCAGAAAAGAGCCCAAATAGCCAAAGCAATCTTAAGCAAAAAGAACAAATCTGGAGGCATCACATTACCAGACTTCAAACTATACTACAAGGCTGTAGTAACCCAAACAGCATTATATTAGCACAAAAATAGAGACCTAGACCAATGGAGCAGAACAGAGAACCCAGATATAAAACCATCCACATATAGCCAACTGATCTTTGACGAAGCAGACAAAACATACACTACGGAAAAGAATCCCTATTCAATAAATGGTGCTGGGAGAATTGGATAGCCACATGCAGAAGAATGAAACAGGATCTGTATCTTTCACCACTCACAAAAATTAATTCAAGATGGATAAAAGACTTAAATGTAAGGCATGAAACCCTAAGAATGCTAGAAGAAAATGTTGGAAAAACTCTTCTAAATATCAGCCTAGGCAAACAATTTATGAAGAAGACCCCAATGGCAATCATGGAAACAACAAAAATAAATAAATGGGACTTGATTAAATTAACAAGCTTCTGCACAGATAAGGAAATAATCAACATAGCAGACAGACAACCTATAGAATGGTAGAAAATATTCACAAGCTATACATTCAATAAAGGGCTAATAACCAGAACCTACAAAGAACTCAAGCAAATCATCCAGAAAAAGACAAACGACCCCATTAAAAAGTGGGCAAAAGACATGAACAGAAGCTTTTCAAAAGATAAACAAATGGCCAATAAACATATGAGAAAATGCTCGACCTCACTACTCACCAGGGAAATGCAAATTAAAAACACAATGAGATATCAGTTTACCCCAGTTAGAATGACTTTTGTTAAAAAGTCCAAAAACAATAGATGCTGGTGTGGGTACAGAGAGAAAGGAACACTTATACACTGCTGGTGGGACTGCAAATTAGTATAGCCTCTATGGAAAACAGTATGGAGATTTCTCAAAGAACTAAAGGCAGACCTACCATTTGATCCTGCAATCCCACTACTGGGTATTTACCCAAAGGAAAAGAAGTCATTTTATCAAAAAGACACCTCCACTAGAATGTGTATCGCAGTGCAATTCACAACTGCAAACGTGGAATCAACCTAAGTGTCCATCAATTCATGAGTGGATGAACAAAATGTGGTATATGTATACTATGGAATACTACTCAGCCATGAAGAAGGGTGACTTAATAATGCCTTACAACAATTTGGCTGGAACGGGAGACCATTATCCTAAGTGAAGTATCTAAAGAATGGAAAAACAAACACAACATATACTCGCTATTAAATTGGAACTAACGGATGAGCACACACATGTGCACAGAAGGAAGTAAAACTCAGTGGAAATCAAGCAGCAGGGAGGCAGGAGGTGGGGATGCGTGAAAACCTACCTAATGAGTACAATGAACACTATCTGGGTGATGGGCTCACTTATAACCCTGACTCAAACATAACGAAAGCAATCCATGTAACCAAAAACATTTGTACCCCCAAATCAAAGAATGCCTATCATCATTATTATTGGACATTATTTTCAAGGTTTTGGGAAATACAAAAGGATAAAAAATTAATATTGGTTACAATTATTGGAAATATAGAAAATTATTTCTTTTAACTAGTGATATGATTGCATAACTAGAAAAAACATTATTCTCAAATTAGGAGGGAGTTTGTCAAACTGCTGAGAAACAGAGTACACACAAGCCAAGAGCTTTTTCTCTATGCTAGCAATAACCAGCCATAAATCAAATGAGGAAAACTATTTCATTCACATTAGCAACAAAAACTATAAAACAGGACTAAACAAGAAACGATAAGGACTATACTAGAAAACCATGAAAATCTTATTGAAGAATATGAAACATAATCTAACAAACAAAAAGATATTCCACATTCCTAGAGGGAAAGATACAATATCATGAAAATGTCAGCTCTTCCGAAATTGATTGTAATTCTGTAATTCTAATTGCAATTGCATTAAGTGTTAGAGTTTTGTATGGAATTGAATAAAAATTATCCTCAAGTTCATATGGAAGAATTAATGTCTGAATTTCTGCCTCAGAAAAAGGGGATGGGACATGAGACAAACCTACAAAATTATGAAAAATGAAACTCACAAAGAGAGACTTGCCTTACCAAAGGGCAAATATACTATGGAATCATTTTTATTAAAAATGCATGTCATTGTTACTGGAATTGACAGAGAACAAAGAAACATAACAAAGAGTCAAAAATACGTACTAGTGCACTTGAGGATTTAATATACAACAACACTATTTTCAGTGGGAAAGGATGGTTTAATAAATTGTATTGGCCTACCACTTACCATTCTGTTAGAAAATATGAAATTAAACCCCTATATGACATATATAAAAATAAGTTCCAGATGGATTAGAGACTTAAATGAAAAAGAAAAGAAAAGAAAGAAACAAAAATATTTAGAAGACCTAGCCGTATACAGCCAATTACCCATGCTGTAGAATACCTTAGAGCCAGTAACAAGAACGGAAGGCATACTGCTCTTCCCACTGGTTTCCTGAGATGGTGAGGTTGGGGGAAGGGGGAAGAGGTAGTATAAAGAAGGCATAACTGTAAGCCAAAAACAACAGAGACAGAAAAACCTAAAGATACTTCCACCTAAAAACAGTAAATATATAATGTAACTAATATAAAATTATTTAAGTTGTGTAGATATAAATAGAGAGATATAAAACAATGTACTTAGAGTGGTAGAATTTCAGATATTTTTACCCTTTTACTGTCTTCCTTATGCTTCCGAATAAATTCAATTTCTAACAATAATGATTTTTATTTACATAATTAAGAAAAAGAACAACACTATTTTCAATCTGAATAAAATAATATTTACTCTGATAATGCTGCTGGAAAGCAATATGACAGTATATTTATACACTCTGATTCAATACTCTTACTCCTGGGAAATTATATCACAATAATTGTAAGAAGAAAGCTATATGCATTAAGATTTTCACTGTAGCATTATCTTAACCAGTGAAAATAAAAAGAACCATTCCTCTACTGTTACATAATTAGGTTACCATTTCTATTACTAACAGTAATAATAATAATAGCAGCTGCCACTTGAGAATTTAAGAGCAGGAAATATCTGTAGGTCACAGGTAAAACTATAGAAACAGGAAAACAGATCAGTGGTTGCCAGGATTTGGGGAAGAAGGGGAGAAGAGACAGGGATGAATAGGTAGACCACAGGGTATTTTTAGGGCAGTGGAACTATTCTGTATGATACTGAAACAGTGGATAAACAATATGCATGTGTCAAAACCCATAGAACTGTACAACAGAGTGAATCTTAATGTTAACTCTGGATTTTAGTTAATATCAATGTATCAATACTGGCTCATCAGTTGTGATAAATGGACCACACTGGTATAATATGTTAATAACAGAAGAAACTTTGCCAGGGAGAACTCTGTACTTTATGCTCAATTTTTCTACAAACCTAAAACTGCTATAAAAAAGAAAGTCTATTCATTAAAAAAATCTACACTCATGATTGAAAAACAGGACAATATGAAATGTAGACGGATACA